CTCTTTAGTTGATTATAGATTTTATGGCAAATGTTCATTTTATTGTTTGCGATTTTGGGTTATATTTTTTCGAGAAGAGAAGAAAAAAGGGTTCTTGGGCCTTGCACGCCTTGGTTGAAGACTACAAGACAATAACATCATGAATCGTGATCACTGGTTGAAATTCTTTTTTTTTTTTCATTTTTTTAAATTTTAAAGTGAAGTTATCTCTGTAAAGTGGCTTTCTCTGGTTAATTATTCGTGATGAATTAGTGTGCCAGAAGAATGACGTTTGACAACATGTGGGAAATTGATGGGACTTGATTCCCTTATCATGTTGTTTGATGGTTCCAAGAAGAATTAATGGTCAATGAACAATCTGTAACCAATGCCTCATCCCCTTCTCCAAAAAGACCAACAGCAATTCTAATCGTACATCTCTAATGTCAAAAAGTTTTATTTTCTTGTCTCTGTTTAATAATGTGTTTCCAACTGTTGCTCTGCGTGTTATTAACCACATCTTATAATTGACCAAATGTTTTCATTTCACGTTTCGTTGAATTTTTGCTGGATTCAAAAGTTTTTTTTTTCCTTATCATAAAGTGAAGTCTGAAATGCAATTTTCTAAATAATAATATTTCGCTCATATGATAGACGTATTTCTTAATTTATTTTTTATATTTTTATTTATTTATTTATTTTATATATATTACATCATAAAAATATTATAATAATTATTTTAAATAATATTCTATCCAAACAAACCAATTTTAACACGGCAGGTTAAAAAGAAAAGAAACTTCTTGTTCGAGAAGAAAAAGAGATCCTCCTCATGTTTCTTGTTTCTGAATGATTTCGTAGTCAGACTGCACTTCATACATGATGATTATGACATCTAATTGATGTGATTGGTTCTACAATTGGAAAGTAAAACACACCTATGGATGCTAGCTATTTTTGTAAAACGTCCTATCCTGTTAATACCTTCACTTATATTCTTCTGTTAACAATTGGAAAGTAAAACACACACATATATATATATATAGATGTTTACTATTTTATGCTGTTTCTGTTCATGAATATATATATATTTTTAAATTTCTTTCTGGAAGTGCTCCTCTGTTAACTTGCAAAGTTTACATGCTTTTATCTTGATTGGACGTCAATATCCATAGCTAATTATTTTGATGGAGAAGTCTTACGAGCATTAATTTAATGGTGATTATCTTCCACTAACGAATGGCATCACATCCCAATTCAGTAATCTTCTGAAATATGACAACCATTCTATCAACCAAGTTCCCACTGTGACGGGCCTAACATGACATCTAGCTTTTAGAGACCATCGAAAAAGGTGAAAAAGACCAAAAAAAAAAAAAGGAACAAATATATTGTTGCAGTCATTATGTAGCAAGAATTTATTTAAGGGATAATTTGAGAAACCTCCCCTAAAGCTTCTGACAGTTTCGCTGAGCTCCTTTGAAGTTTGAAAAATTACACATACCTCTATTATTATTTTAAATAACAATTTTACCCTTAAATATTTTAATAAAATTTCCTTATGTGGTATGCTTATACTTAGAATTAGTTTTAAAATTATTTTTTCATTCTTTTTCCTTCTTATTCCTTTTTTTTATAAAATTTTTGCCAATAAAACTGTAGTACTATCACTATTGCCTCTAGTTTCTATTATAACCAAATATCGAACTAGTGATTTTTTTGACGAATTAATTTTATATGTAATTCAATATTTTTACTGATATTTGTTTTCTATTTTTTGGTGATAGGGTGTTAATTGTTAGTAATTTTATTGTTAATTTTCCTTTTTGTCCTTACCAAATATTGTTTTAATTATCAATATTTAATTATATTTGGTATTGGATTCAATTTCAGGGAGTGGAGCAGAAAACTACAAAAAAGGATGGACTTTCTGGAGACAATTGAGACTTCAAACAAGCCACAAACCTGGCCCACATGGTGATATAGGTGGACTGCATTTCTTTTGCTGAGGAGGAGTGTCTTGAATCCTAGGAATCCTATGAGCAATGAGAAACGAGAAAATAGGAAATATTAAGAGGCCTTACCTTTTTGTACTTTGATTGGGGAATCTCGGCAGGGACCACAGGGATAGTATTAGTCATCTTTCTTTTGGCTTTAAAAGGGGACAATCGTGCAGAGGCTTGAGGGGCTGAGTCTTTAAAATAGTTTTAGTCTTTTCTTTCTTTTTCTTTGTCAGGAGCACGCCTACTGTTCGACAATATTTTCCAACGGAAAAAACATCTCTTATTTCTAGCTTCCTAGTGGAAAACTTGATGCCTTTGCAATCAATTGATTTGCGTATAGATTTATTTAAGCGGTGTGGCTAAACCTGTCATCTAGTCGAAGGCCAACTTGAAGGTGCGGTTCCAAATATCTGTGAGATCGAATTAATTTTATTTATTTCTTTTGTTCATTGGTATTTGTACGTTTCCTGATTTAATTGCTTATACTTGTTATGTTATTTGAATGTCAATGGTCTGATATTCGAATTAACCTAATGATCTAATGCCAAATTAATTGATTGAATCCGTAATTGTTCAATCGATTAATACTAGTGGCGACTAGCGTGATTGGTTTCATGTTAGGGAAACGTATGATCTAACTTAAACAAACCCTCGTAGCGTGTTTGTTGGTTAGGATTGGGCTTTTCTAATTATTATTGCAATCGAGTAATTAAATCATATGGTCGTATCTAGGGTTATTTCTTGGTTAGAAAAATAGTTAACGGTCGTACCTTAACTATCGAGAAATTAAGAAAAAGCTGGTTGTTCATTGCGTGTATGACAACTATAACCAATCTAGTAATGAGTAATCGAATTATCTTTGCATCGATGATCAGTTAAATGGACCGTGTCTGAAAAGTTGCACCTTTGGCTAGAATCGTATTGGTTATTGATTAATTGTTGTTTATTTCTATTAGTTGTTTCATTAGTTAGTCAATTAGTTATTTTATATTTTTCAAAAATCCCCCATGCACTGAACTCTAGCATAAACGAATTATCCCCAATCTCTATGGATTCGACCCTACTCACCGCTATATACAAAATTTGTATTTTTCTTCAGTAGATAATTATTATTGCACAGGTTTGACACCCTGTCAATTGGTATTAAAATTAACAATAAATAAAAAACGAATGACATAAAAAACTACTAAATTATGAAAATCCTACTACTCCAAAAATTCATAAATTCTAAATGAATTATTTCAACATTTTCTTTTCTATCTTATAAATCTAAATCCATAATAAAATACCATCAAAAGTATCATGTCATAGTAATAAAATTATTATTATAGTTGTTTATCAAATAGTATATATGGACATGAAAATTTTGGCATCTTTTCCTTAAGATTATACTAAATAATCTTATAATTGTATAGAAAAATAAATTAAAACTCATTACACAAGGGCATTTTTGGATATTCCTTTAAAAAATTGATCAAGCCAATATTATTTTAAGATTTTGTTATTAAAACTATCAAATCAAGAGAGGTAAGTGTAATTTTTCAAACCTTAGGGGCTTAGGAAAGTCGTCGAAAACCTCAAGGGAGGTTTATGAAATTATCCCTTTATTTAATTTAGGCAAAACTATAATAATTTTTACTTTTGATTGCATTTACAGTAAGAATTAAGTTCTGGAAAAAAATGGTGGGAAAAGAGGCTAAGAACCAGTACAACTTCTTCCGCAAATTTTCTTCAACTTATTAGCTCCTAAGCTAAAACTTTGAGCAATCTTTACATGGCCACTGCCCACATCATTGTTCATTGGTTCTTTTAACTTTCTCTGTAACTTGGAAGATATTTCTTCAATTTGAAAAGTAAGAACAATTTTTATTTTTAAGTTTACATCCCATATTCATGATCCTGTAGGATCTTTTTTTTTACTTTATTTTCTTTTCTTTTCGGGAACGTTAGAAATTGATCCTGTAGGATAATTGAGGTCATTTTTTATTATTACTCATCTATGATGGTGACTGCCCAAAAGATGGGCTCTAAGTTTAATAAACCTATATTTTTGTTCAACTTTTTGTTACCATTAGAAATAGGCTTATTTCAATAACGAAAATTACATGAACCTCACTCTTCTGTGTATCCTCCGCAGTCTTGCCATGCTTTGTTGTGTATAGGATTCTGGACCGGGTCAGCCTGAATTTGGTCAATTTGGCCCAAAAAAGCTTACTGCATCTAAACTTTAATTGGGCCAAACAGAATTTGACTCTAGAGATTAGGTCTAAACTAAATGTGAGCTGGGTTTGAGACCAGATTGAAGTCAGGCCCATATATGAGTATAACAATATATGTAATATATATATATAATAATATCTATAATTTATAATTATCTATATTATATATAAAGGGTGAGGAGGGTGTTTGGGATAAACAAAAATATGTTATTTTATATACTTAAACTACTCTTGATGATGACAGAACTTTTGGTATAAAGAAAAATCTATCTATCTGTAATAACTACCCACTACTAACATGATTTTTTACCAAGTAATATATATATTTTCATATTCTATTATTTAACTTATTAATTTTAATTAGCAACTACCAATTATGATTATGAATAACTACCAAATAACTACTTTTTATAACTTTTATTTTGGTAAATTTTTTACATATGTATTTTCAAAATGTAAAACCAATTTTTTTGAAAATGATTTCAATAAATATACTCACAAATATTTTTATTAGTTGCACACACATAGTGTGTGTCTTGAATACTAGTACATATTACAACATAAAATGTTAATAATTTATATGTAAATTTGAATTACAAGTTTTATATTTAATTATGAGTTTGGACCAAATCCGATTTAAACCCGAAACTCATATAATAATATAAGCTAAGTTTGAGCCTTTTTAATATGAGCTGAACCTTGAAAATCCATATAACTTGTGAGGGGAGTTTGGACCTGCCAAACTTAGCTCAAAAGCTCAATTGGCACCCCTAGTTTTTACCTCCTCTTGTTCCCTGGAATGTGCTTCACAAGATTCCTTCTGTCCAGGGTAGTATAGTTCTATTTCTTTGAAGTTGTAGATTATTTCGTTTGCCACCATGAAACTCTCATTGTTTTCAGATGTTCTCCTTGTGATTACAATGTGCCTATGTATGATCATGGTGTCGTGTAATCCAAGTTATTTGAGGGGTCTGAAAAGCAGTCTACATCTAGCAGATTTTCCGAGCAACTTCCTTTATGGAACTGCATCATCTTCGTACCAGGTTTATCAGAGTTGCTTTCATCTTCCTGTTTTCAGAATTTTTTTTTAAAATTTGGTGCTACTATTTTTCTCAGAGCCAGATGCTTTGTCATTTTATATGCTGTCGCATACTTCATTTGTTTAATTTGCAGTTTGAAGGAGCTTTCTTAAGTGATGGGAAAGGCCTCAGTAACTGGGACATTTTTTCCCATGAAGCAGGTAAAATGATTCAGTTAGGAAAAATTATACGGGAGGAAAATAATACATAACTAAACTTGATTTGGCGATTCCACTGGTAGGTAACATCTTGGATGGAAGTAATGGAGACATTGCTGTTGATCATTACCATCGTTACTTGGTAATTTTAGTTCACTTACGAGAGACCTTTCCTTTGCAGCTGTTCCATATTTTTTTAATGCCTGTTGAATATACTTTGTGCTATGTGTAGTACTAAATGTAACTGTTCTAAAAGTTACAGCAACAGAAAAATGAAAGCAAGAACATGATTGGTTACTGACACATGATGATTTAATGCGTGGAGGGTGGACAAGTTGGGGTAAAAATGTTGAGAGTCCTTGAAAATCAGCAAAGCATATACCACCCTCGTACAAAATGACCCAGCATGCCAATACAAGCTTCTTGTTGATGCTTGTGGCGCATAATTGGCCAAAGACTGTCATGGAATCATGGTAGATGGAGAAAAAATAGTATAGATATAAAACAAGGATTTGGGCGTTCCTGTCTAGTGACCTGCTTGAACAGTGCAGGAATATCATCTTAGGATGTGCCTGCTGATATCAGTTCTGGTAAGCTACAAACTATGTCTTGATGCAATTCTAGCCTGTGTTAATATCACAGCTAAAACAATTTATAGTTGGAGAACCAAAATTTCAGTTGATGTCTTGCAATTGAAGTAAAGTAATAAAAAAAAAAAGGACTAATTTCATGATTGTTTTTCTAATGGAACTTACCATTTGACATAGAGAGTAGATCCCATGCAAATATAAGCTGTATGTCTTCATACCATTTGACATATAGAGTAGATCCCACTGCAACTTTTCTGTTGCAGTGTATCGGAATATGTAGTCTCTTGAGTGTTTTGAAATCTGATAATAATCATTGTCGTTTGTCTTTAAGCTAAACTTAGTTATGCTGTGCTTAAATAGTCATTGTGGTTGGGATGATTTGGTTACAAGAAGCAGCTTGGTCTTTTGGTTTCTAACAGTGATACTCCACATTTTGAGTATTCAGGTAAATACATGATGTCCTGGTGTTTCACTGCATCATTCTGATAAGAAAATAGTAGATGCTACCTGGACCTATTTTTTAACCCACAGTAAAAAAGGAATTTTGATCAATAGCAAGGTATTATGTGTAAGCTGAAAACACCTATTGTTGTCAGAGTTTTGATAATGCAATTCTTATGAGAAGGGAAACAAGTAGCCATACCAGATAATATGATTATTGGATAATTTACATTCTTTTCACTGGTGGCTGAAATTTGTTTCTCTGTCCAAGCATCAGCCACTGGATACAGAAGTAGCATCATGCCGATGCTGTCGCAAAATAGCCATCTCTTTCAAGTGAATATAGAAGGAATAGTTGCCTCAAGAAATCAATAGATTATTGGTTGAAAGCAAGAGTTAAAGCTCATGGTAATTGCAGAATAGTCTGGTACCGCCAAAAGTGTTTTGTGCACTCTAACCTTTTTGCGGCAAAAACATTCTCAAATCTCCTAGTAACCAAACTACGCCTTCTTACCTGTTTCATGGATGATTAAACTAACAACAGTAACTATGTCAGTGAGAAATAACTTCTATACAACAGCCTAAGTTTTTAGATCATCAGGATTGTGTAGGATTGCATGAAAGAAAGACACCAGACTGCCAGTCTTTTTTTCTTTTTTCTTAAGCAAGAGCAAAACGGGCAATTGCTATTTTGCCTGTTTCAGTAATATTACCAGACTAGATTGCTATTTTGATCCCTGTAGGACATCAGCAGAATGATGTTTTACAGTAGTAAAACTAAATGTAGTCTAAATGGCTCATAATCTGTATAACGGGCTGAACATTGCAAAAGAGAAATATGAAAAGAAGAAATGAATCAGATAATAATTCAATGTCCTGACAACAAATACAGGAGGATCTTGATCTGATGGAAGATCTCGGTGTGAATAGCTATCGCTTCTCTATATCATGGGCTAGAGTACTTCCCAGTAAGTCTTAGTTTAAATGGTAGCTCTCTCTCTCTCTCTCTCTTCTCTCTCTCTATTTTGCAATTGGATGAGAAACTGATTTGCACTTCAAGAAACTCCTGCTTTTCCTTCAATTTCATCTTATTATTATTGTTATTGTTATTTTTTTTTTCTGTGACAAGACTGCTATTTATTCATTGTGGATCAGAAGGGAGATTTGGAAATGTGAATATGGCTGGAATTAAGCACTACAACAAGCTTATTGATGCACTCCAAGATAAAGGTTACTTCTACTCTACGTCAGCTACTTGAAGCCATGATAATAGTGCTAGTAACAGGGGGGAAAGAATAATGTATATGAATTTCCAGGAATTTCTCCCTTTGCATCATTGACTCATTATGACATCCCTCAAGAGCTTGAAGAGAGATATGGAGCTTGGCTAAGTCCCAAAGTACAGTAAGCTGCAGCAACTCTTATTTCTACTGTAGGCTGTATTAGCTTCAAGATTGTATAGAACTATGCCTGAAGAATATCAGAAGTTGGCACTGGAATTAATCATCTTTTCAATATTGATACCAATAATGTGTATGAATAATTTTGACCATGAAAGTTGGTAAATCTGTGTTCTTGAATCTAGTTCTAATGAAATTGCTGCTTAATGAAGCTTTGCTTAGGTAAAATGGAATAGTTAAGTGCCACAATTTTATAATCCCCTTGTTTGCTGAGAAGGCCATTCAACTCAAAATTGATGTGTCTACTTGCTGCTGGATAAGATTCAATTAAGATGCAACTCATTTTGTAATCATTTTTTCCAGAGAAGATTTCAGATATTATGCAGATATCTGTTTCAAATACTTTGGGGACAGAGTGAAGTACTGGGTTACCTTCAATGAGCCCAATGTTGTAGCCATTCGTGGATATAGGTCCGGGATTTACCCTCCATCTAGGTGTTCTGCTTCATTTGGAAATTGTAGCACTGGAAATTCAGAGGAGGAGCCTTTTATAGCTGCCCATAATATGATACTGTCCCATGCAGCTGCTGTCAGGACTTATCGAACTAAATATAAGGTGCTCAGTTTCAACTGCATTATTTACTCAACTTCCCAAATAGGTTACCACGGTATCGATATGATAAACAGCAACCAATGACCTGATTAACAATAACTTGTACGTTTCATGGTAGCGTTCAGGAAAAACAAGGGGGAAGTATCGGGATTGTGATGAATGCTATATGGTTTGAGCCCTTCACTAACTCCTCAGAGGATAAGTTAGCAGCTGAGAGAGCTCAATCTTTCTTCCTGAATTGGTAAGATAGTCTTGACTCTTCACTATCACAAGATTGATGTATTGTGACGTCTTAAAATAAACCTTAAAACTCCTGATTCAGGAAAGTCAATGTTATAATGTCTCGTGGCTTTGTATAAATGACTATGATGCTTGAAGTCCTCCGGTAACTATGCATAAAATGACCTTACAAATTCCACATTTATGACCTGAAAAAGAAAAGGACCTATGTGGTCTTGTAACTCAGTGGTTTTAATACAGGTTCTTGGATCCAATTATATGTGGAAGATATCCTGCAGAGATGCAACAAATACTCGGATCACAGTTGCCAAACTTTCAAAGGCAGGAAGTCAGTGAGATAAAACTTGGATTAGACTTTATCGGCATAAACCACTATACTAGTTTCTATGCTAAAGATTGCATATACTCAACATGTGAACAAGGGCCAGGAGTGTCAAGGTCAGAGGGTTACTACTTAAGGACAGCATTTAAGGATGGTGTTCCCATTGGTGAAACTGTATGTATGTCAATTCAATGTTACCTCAAATTACTATTTGGTTCCTGTTATCCTAATTGAAGTATTTTCTGATGCAAGTAGACTGCAGTGGACTGGTTATATGTACATCCTCAGGGAATGTACAAAATTGTGATGTATATTAAAGATAGATACAATAACACACCAATGTTCATCACTGAAAATGGTAATTGAAAATTTTGCCTCATCTGTCTTTAGGATAGATTAGAAGCATACTATAATTTGTCTGATGTAGTCTAAACAAACTTGTCCAGGTTATGGAGAGCTGAACAAACTGAATTCATCTGTCAAAGATTTCATTAAAGATTACAGAAGGGTGGAGTACATGAATAGCTACTTGGCTTCATTGGCTCTAGCAATACGGTATATGTCTTCGTTATTCTTGACACGTTCCCACTATCTCTATGTTTGTAGTTTCTTTCATCCCTGTGTGTCCTTACGGACCTAAAGAAGAGTTTTTAAGGTGCTTAGCAAATGATAAACAAACTGCTTTTCTGATGCATTCGTAAAATTGGTCACATGATCAGGAATGGAGCCAATGTGAGAGGGTACTTTGCCTGGTCTTTGCTTGACAATTTTGAGTGGACATCTGGATATACAATAAGATTTGGACTTCACCATGTTGACTTTGCAACCCTTGAAAGAACTCCTAAGCTATCTGCAGATTGGTTCAAACAGTTGATTTCATACCACAGGAGTCTTTCAAGTAATGCCTGAGAGGCAATGCAATGAGATCGACTGTAAGCTTATGGCATTATGATGCAACCCTTCTCCCCTGTTTTTGCAATTTGCGCCCCGGCTCCCTTCCCCCCCCCCCCCCCCCCCCCCCCCCCAACAACCCCACCCTACCCCATCCCCAAAAAAGAAAAAAAAGCTTTGAGATGCTACCCCAGCTTTCTTTCATTGTAACGTACTTCACTAGGAGATTACATGTTCCATCAGCCCAGCAGCTGTAAGCCACTTCTCCCCTCCCACATGAGGGTGTACATTATCTACTTCCAACCATCAAAATGGTGAAGAATGTGGACTATTCTTCACTGAGCTAGCTGTAGATTCTGTGTTTCTTAAAGAAAGTGAAGGACCTTCTATCTTAGAACAATACACAAATGATATTATATGTTTCGCTGACCATATATAAATCTGTTGACTATATTGAACAATGAGAGATGACAATGCAGATAAAAGATAAAAATTGCAATTACCTTTGGAACAAGCTTGTATTGATTTCTTGGATTGCATCTGGGCCTCATATTTCGGATGTGTTCTCCCTGTTGTCAGGAACTAGTTTAGTGCGTGTTTGTGCGTTTAACTCGGCGTAATATTTTGTCGCGCTTGCAGCTTTCCAATTCCATTCCTGATTTACCCCAAATCCATGTGGGTCCAACATCAATAAGATAAGCGTCGTTACGCATTCGCGACACTTCCTGGTTCCTGAGGACGGTAGTGGCACGAGCATGTTTAATACTACCAGAAAAGACTCAACAAAAAGTTTACCAACCCAAATAAAATGAACAGTATTAGTGGTCCTTCAAAAATTTTTTTTTTTTCAAGTTTTACTTCAATTACAAGTTGTAATTGAAGAGTTGGCCACCACATTAATTGCGGGGTGAGAGATCAAGGGTTCAAATCTTGTCTTCCATCAATGTGTCTCAATATGAGGTTTGTTCTAAATCTATACGGGTGTGTGGTGCACCCGTTTGGTCTGATGGTGATTCAGTCCCCGTTAGGGGTGCAAACTCGATTCAAGCTCGATCAATATCGAGCTCGAACTGGTCGAGTCAAAGTCAAATTCGAATTCGAATTCAAAATATTAAGCTCGTTAGCTCGCGAACTCGAATATATATATATATTTTTTATTTTAATAGTAAAATTATATAAATATCCTTAATATTTTATTATTTATTAAGAAAAAAATATTATTTTATTTATTTTTTAAAAAATAAAATAATTATTTTTATTGTTTCGAGCACAAACTTGAGCTTTAAAATTGTCAGCTCGTCGAGCTCGACCTCGAGTTTGAGTTCAATAAAATTAAATCAAAACTCGACTCGATTAAGCCAAAACTCGATTCGATTCGGCTCGTTTGCAACCCTAATCCCCGTTAGGTTCCTTCGACTCAGTTGGGCCACCCCATAAAGTAGTTTCTCCCCTTAGGAGTAGGAGTAAGATAGGTTAGGTTAGATGTGCCGTTATGCCAAAAAAAAAAATATTACAAGTTGTAAAAGTATCATTTCATATTGGATAAAAATACAATAACTAGGCATTAATAAGCTTGTCCAAATGAAGCAGTAAATTCAAAAATTGAGAGTTTTCTTTACATCAAAAAGTTAGATCACATGCAACGTGTACGGGCTAAGGTTGGTAACGGGATCCAATCTGTCAGCTTGCAAACATGAGGGAAAGAGTCGGCGCTAGATTTCTCAATTTATCTCCGACAATCAAGTCAGTGTCAGCTTGCAAACATGAGGGAAAGAGTCGGCGCTAGATTTCTCAATTTATCTCCGACAATCAAGTCAGTTTAGAGGAAGACATGAATAAACAATAATGGGAAAATGGCCTTTTTCGTCCCTAAACTTTTTTTTCCGGTCGATTTAGTCCCTAACTTTTATTTTTGGCCAATTTAATACATGAACTTAATTTTTGGGTCCAATTAAGGCCTTCTACGGCAGCGCCACCACCTGAAAGTAATTTAGCTCCTAATTTAACATTAAACAAGGGCATTTTGAGAGCTTCAGGTATGAATTGTAATCAAAGCCCTCTTGTTGCCTTAGAAGCAGATGAAGAAGATGAACAGCTTTTGAATCTATAGAAGCTTTTGAAAAGCCCTCTTATTGAATCTGTAGAAAATGAACGACCACACAACAAGAGGGTAGCCCTCTTCTAATGCAAGCTAGAAGCAGATGAAGACCGACTGGCCTGTGGTTGTGGGTTGTTCCATCTTAGTCTTTCATTGCTTGCCTGCTACAGAGGCTTCAGCAGAAGCAAGACAACAAGAAGTTCCCAAAATGCCGAGCCAAAATTCCTAAGTTGGTGCCGGACACTTTTGAAGGTTTAAGGTTCAGATATGTCAAAATTAGGTCAGGGAAAGGGAAAGTGACGCCGCCATGGCTGCAACACCAGTTGCAACGTGATGTGAGGAAAACATTGGAAGTTTAAATAGACAGAGGACCCAACCCCAGAAAGAGGGATGGATCCTCTCAAACCCCTCCTCTCCCTCTCCCCCTCCCCCTCACATTTGCCATCCGGGTTGCCCAACCAAAATACGGGTCGGACTTGCCTCAAACACACTGACCCATTTGCCCTACAAGTTAAATCATCACAGCCCTCTTGTTGCCTTAGAAGCAGATGAAGAAGAAGTACAAGGGTCAGTCATGTCAAGAAGAAGCAAGACGTTAGAGATCATTAAGGCTCCGTTTGGTAGTGAAAATATCTCGGGACAGAGAGTATCGAGCATAAAAGGAGGATCTTTTAGAAAGAAATTGAAGCTTTCTCGCTGCTGTTGATCTTCTTCGGCTTGACACCCTTACGGTTACTGGCGCTAACTGTAATCAAGATTTAAAATTCTTATTAGCATATGAAATTGGACAACATAACGTCCACCAGCAAAGAGAAAGAAAGCATAAATAAAACTTGGACTAATAAGAAGAAACCAGTCGTGATTGGTGATGAAAGATAGACAAGCAGCCATCATTAACCATCCCTCTCATCAATGAAACATCCGCCATTTTTTATTTTCCCACTTCCCTTTTCTCAGTTCACAACTTGAGCTGTGAACCCAAATTCACTCCACCACCCCTACCATCCACTCCACCACTAATATTTCCAAGTTCAATCGTCTTGTGTACCCCAACCCTCTCTTACGCCTTTAGGAGTTTTTCTTTCTTTCTTGTTTCTTAATAGATTGGCTCCAGATATCCCTTTTTCTACGGAGACTGACTTTGTCCCTGTCCGGCCCAATTAGCCTGCGAATTTTCATTTTTGTGGAGGTTGGCAGTGGAGAGGAGATAATTCAAAGTTTCCAAAATGCCCTTGTTTAATGTTAAATTAGGAGCTAAATTACTTTCAGGTGGTGGCGCCGCCGTAGAAGGCCTTAATTGGATCCGAAAATTAAGTTCATGTATTAAATTGGCCAAAAATAAAAGTTAGGGACTAAATCGACGAGAAAAAAAAATTTAGGGACGAAAATGGCCATTTTCCCAACAATAATTGATGGATCAATTGTTCTAAGATTCTGACATTCTAACAGAGCACGTGATTCAAGACATATTCTCATCAATCCTTTCTTCCAATAGCAGAGGCAGGGAAGGAAGATCAGACCTCGGTATTGGATTTGGCTTCATGCAGGTTGTCACTAATTATCGAACTCTTCTAGTTTTAGGCCCAAAGTAGTCTGGTTTTAAGCCCAGCAGAATCAATCCGTAAGAATCGGCGGGCACATTGTTTACAATTGTTCGGTTTGTTACATTTTTTTCCGTATACGTTTGTTTGGATAAGAGTTTATTTGAATGATTTATTTGAGATAATTACTGTAACATTTTTTATGATGTGATGTATGTGAGATAAAAAGGTGACTGGAAAGATAAAAAGGTGATTGGAATTTGTGAAGTAAATTATTTTGTTTCAAATTATCTCAATCCAAACACACAGGTGAATTTGTATTTTTTTGTCCGTCAAAATTTTAAATTTTGTTTGTGTAAATTAAAAATATTGTAAGAAATACAATAATTTATTGTAAATGTATGCTAGACATTGCAAGCAGCACAACAATTAGAAGCAACCGTACCAAACCAAACCATCTCAAATTGCCTAAGCAATTCCGCATTAAAAGAATAAAAGAATCACTACACGACTTTGCCCAGTATATATCCAATTACTTGAATGAGAAATCAGTGGAGCCGATATCAACTTCATGTTGAGTTTTTACCGAACGTTGTTTTGGAGAAATTCGGGACGTGGATGCTGGCTGGATTTCTTGAACTGTATGATGCATTACTGTAACTCTTCCAGCAGAATCAGCAGCATTATCATCAGCGTTATGCAGGGAAGATGAAGGCACTTCATGATCCCAAATTTCATTGTCAGAATTGGATCCCCGTGGGGTTGCTTGCAGGCTATCATCATCCACAGTACTGCAACGGAAGCCCTGCAACAGATGAACTGGAGACATTCCATGCAAGGGCGTTCCAGGCCTACTCGAGAAGGGTGTCGTACTTCCTGATTTCCTGTCTTCTTTTATGTGCTTTTTGGCAGTCTTGTGCCAGCTTTTGAGTGCTGATGACACTTTCTCATCGAATATTACCGGTTTCATTGTTGTGCCCATCTGTTAATTTGAACCAATGTGTATTGGATTAACATAATCAGTCTACATTTTTTGTTGGAACTTAATTGCTTCTTCGCGAGAGGAATGTAGCGAGTAAAGCACATTACCTGTGTTACTAGAGCGTACAAAGGAAGAGTAACATAGCTGCAGAGGACTTGTGTGAGGATCCTAAGACCAAAGAGAGAGAGAAGATTATTAATATGATTCTAATTATGCAGCTCAAGCATGATTGAAAATTGACGCAGAATTCTACGTGCCAAAGATCGTCTCAAACTCACCCCACTGAAAGTCTGATGGCTATGTCTTTAGGCCCCTTGTGGAAGCAAGACGGCACGCCATATTTATACTGAAGAAAAGAGAAGTCAAGATGAGTGTTATGTGAGGTTGTAGCATGAATAGACTCTTGAGATCATAATGGCTTTATAACAAAAACAAATCTCTGATTTCCCAAAACATTATGTTTGGACGCTAAGGAGTAGTGTATATTGAGGTCGAGCACACTATATTTGAGTCTTCTTCACAGTAACTCTTATTGTTGCATCAGACAGACATGATGTCAAGGTCACGAGAACAAAAAATTTTATCTCCCTGAAGCTTCTTTAGCTTCGTTTTTAAGAAATAGGAAGAAGATTCCTTACCCAAGTAAAAGCAAAGAAAGCCATCTGAAATGCATTCTGCAACACAGAGAGGGTGCCAGATTTAGGTTCAAATGATAGCTTTTATATAGCAAATAAAGATGTGAAACTTTCGGATCCTGATATATGAGTATGTTTTCAATCAACAGATACCTGAAAGAGAACAAATTGAACCAAGTAAAGGAGCAAACGAGGGCGATTGAACCAGAATAGATGGTCTCCTGTCTCCACTACTGGTGTTCCCTTGATAACATCACCTCTTTCTTGAATCCTCAATCCCATCTTTGTTATAATCACCAGTAGCTTTGTACCCACCAAGAGGATTATCTGCAAGTTTTTTAAGTATAAGCACTCTCTCATAGAAGTTATGCAAATACTGATTAATAACGTATTAACGTGATCTGTTTCGCATGCACTATTACAGTACCGCAAGAGGAATAAACGGTAGCCACAAGTATGAATGCCATC